ACATTTTAAAATTTATTGAGATTTTAGTAAAATAAAATAATTCCTTTAGAACTTAATTATCACTCTCTCAAAAAAAATTGATTACAACCTTTGTTTTTTTTATGGTAGGAGCAACAACAAGCGGAAAAATCACACCACTACTTAATATTTTAGGAAACTCAATAATTTTGAGTGAATAATTTAAGATAAAAAGTTGACCCTATATATTAATTTGTAATAACAAAAAATAGTAAAACTCTATATATTTTAACAAATTATGTACTATTTATGAATCATACAAATTATATGGTTTAGGAAATAATTTATAAATAAGATAGAGGGAGTACATTCGTATTCATATATGGCACGGGATCCATGTTGATTTTTAAAATATAAGTAACACTACTGACAAAGATCTTATATTTTATATTGACATGGATAATAATTTTACCTGCAATATTGATAATAAGTCATTGATATTTATAAATTAAAAATTACTTATACTCAATGGAAAATTCACATGTGATGAATACAATAGCTATTACTTCTTAATAATTTGAAAGATTTAAGTTCAGTCACTTGAACTAATTTAAAATGCTTATTTATTAATAGAAATTTCTTGATGAATCAATTAGTATTTCCTTATTTTTGGAAGAAAATTATTATTCTACAATTCTACTTGAATATTATAATATCGTAGTGAATTTATTTATTAGGTAAGTTTAGAAGAAGTCTAAGTGGCAGCTCCAATTGTTCGGTGAAATTTACCGTCAACAATGGCCGAGGCATCCGAAGACCATTTGTTAGGTAGAATAAGATTATAAAATAGAAAATAAAAATTAAAGGCTTTTGGGGGGAAAAAAAAGAAAATAATTCTTTATATGAAAAGTATTTCATCTTTTGGGCAATTTCCAATCTTTAAGACTTTGACAGTTCAAAAAAAAAAAAAAAAGGACAATGTGAGTTGATTTGTTGCCGTCAGCAACAGCATAGGGCGAAAGAAGTCCTGGCTCCCCACTTACATGTAAAGCCAAGTAAATAAATAGCTGATGGGGTGACAAAGGGCTGTTGAACGTCCCTCCTCGGACACCCACACGCTGACACACACGTACAAATTATTTTGCAAATATTATTTAATAAAAAATAGGGAGCATACCAATATTTTAAGAACGGGATAAAATAATGAAGTGAAAAGGTCGGCGGTTCAATATTCAAAAGTTTAGTCGGGTTAGATTAATGATAACTTGGTGATTTAATAATTAAATTAAAAAAATTATATATACATATATAATAATTTAAATATAAGAAATAATTATAAAATTGCTACTTAACATGAAAATAATACTAAATGTTTTAAGTTTATTATGACTTAACACATAATACAACATAACATTAAATGATTAAAAAAACTAGTCATTTTTTAAAAATATGAAAATGAAAAGATTTTTTTGAACAGTTCAATTTTTGAAAATTAAATCTAGTTTTCAGTCAGACTATCGATCCAAAGCAACCTAACCCCACTCAACCACCAAAATAATTTTTACATATTGACTAAGTCAAAATTCAGACCGATTTACAGTTAAACCAATCTGACCGTCCGGTTTGATCTGATTTTTTAATCGCTGGAGCATACCCTTAGAAGAATTTAAGAAAAATTAATTTTTTAATCATTCAACTTTTAATTTATTTGTAACTCAATTTCTTAATTATGACTTATTGCAATTCATTCTCTCAATAATGATTAATTATAACTCAATCCTTTAACTTTTGACTCAGTTATAACTTAATCCTTACTTCTTTCAGTTCCATTTATAAGACATGTTTTGGAAAGTTTATTTGGTCTCATTTTATAAGTTAAGGTATGGCTTTTTGGGTAATATTTAAAAAATATTTTTAAAATTACCCTTTATGAAAGAGAAAAATAACATGCCATCACTTTTTAAATTTATTATATAAGGGCATATTTAAAATTTTACACACTTTTATTTCTTTTACTTTTGTTTACATTGGTATTAATGAAATTGGTAGAAATGACTTGTAAAAAAAACCGGAGGAGTATTTTGCAATTTTTTTTAAAAAAATCATCCTTATTAAAGAAGAGAGATAAAAAAAATGCTCATATATTATTCTAAAATACCCTCCTCTTGTTCTTTATTGTGGGATGTAAGCTAACATGAAAAAAAGAATTACAAAAAGTTGTAGAACTAAGTTATAAGTGAATCAAAAGTTAACAAACCGAATCATAAATGAGTCATAGTTGAGAGACTGAGTTATAAATAAGTGAAAAGTTGAAAAAATAAAAGATTATTTTTCACAAGAATTTAATATCTACAAGAACCATATAAATAAATTGGATACACATTAAAACAATAATTTTACTTGTTAATTCGTTGATTTGCTTATTAAAAATCCTTGTCAAATATTAATTTTGTTGAGATGTCCATCATTGATATTCTCCCTAAAAACTAGATATCAAAATAAAATGTAAAAGTATACACAGATACCTCTCTTATCCATAAATAATTTGCTTCACATGAAGTTTTGTAATATAATTATGAAGAAATTCTTATGTACCACATCATCCATGCTTTAAAAATAATAATATATATGATTTTATTTAATTGAACCAATAAAACCTAACATGTTTTTATTAAATAGAATATAGATAATGTAATGTACTGAGTCTATGTGATACATGAGTGAGCAACTAGCATTAGATATATTTTTATGCAAAAAATATCAATTAGAATGGGAGGAGATGAGGTTACTCCAATTACTACAGCATTCATGCCACAATACAACATTACATGATTACAGTGTATTAGTTGTTTCAACTGAAATTATTTTTTTTAATACATAGCCACAGGAAACCCGTATAAGGAAAAAAATTATCTAGTCATATCAAAATATGTGATATTTTTGCACTCAATAGTAGGCATCTCATCAAAAATTATTAAGTCAAAATTACCGTTAGTTACTAACTTGAATGTAACTTGTCTTAGCATGGTTACTAACTTGAATGAGAAAAAGTTGGGAAGCAAAGTGGCATGTGTTGGCAACTCAATTGGGGGAAGAAGATATTTAGATTCACTTGCTTTATATGCATGCATGCCCACGCTCGCTTGTTCTAAGCTTAATTTGTAATTGACAGGTGGTCATGCTGAGCAGTGATTGTACAAGATAAGTTATCATGAGCCAAAGTCAACCAAAGGCTGAATTGAATGTGAGAATAAACTTGTACTAGTTCAATTTCGGGCTTTTGGCCTCTTTTTCTACCAAAGAAAAAAAAAATTGGTACCAATTCATCAAAAGTAAGGGTATTCATGTTTGTTTTCATTCTGATTATGTCAAGATGGGTTTGTTCTAGTTTGAAAAAAGGACAAGACTTTATAAAATAGGACGAAACACAAGATTATCACCGGAACATCCCATTCTATTTCGAATATATTATTTTTTGTTTTCTTTCATTAATATTTAACACTTTATTTATTAAGTTAGAGTTAGAGTATATATTATTCATTCATTTATTTATTTTATTACATAACAAAATGATCACTTAAGTTATATAGCTTAATCATTTTATTGTTGTTATAATACTTGTAGTTTGAAAGTTGGTTGCTATATACTTGACTTAAAATAGTGGTTCTTGTAATTGTATTCTTTCACTTTAAATTGTAGCTACTGTAACTCAATGATTGAATTTTTATATTCTTATTATTTTGGTTTTAGACTTAGTAAGGTATATAATTTAATAAATATTATTATCTAAATTTTTCTTTCATGTTTTGTCTGCTTTATCGAAATGTCTTGATCCCATCTCATTTTACTTATAAACAAGATAGAAAAACTTTCGAGAAAGGATAGGACATTGAACAAAACTTCAGCGCCATTTATTTGTTGGGATGAGACACGAGATGAAGCTATCTCAATCCTATCCCATTATATAAACATCCTTAATGAAAGTAATCAATGGAGTGTCTCCGTGCAAAGCTACCTTGATAGAATTCTTCCTAAAGTAGAAAATAGGATTAATAATAAAATCATAGAGTATTACCCTTTTACATCAATACGCAACCCAATCGAAGAGTTATCAAGGGATTATTAAAATATTTACCCTCCCCTCCCCTCCCCGTTATAAAGACCTTCCCTTCCTTTTATTGAACCAAACAGTGCAAGGCAATTAACTCGCAATGCTTTTGGTCAATTTTCCCATTTAATAAAATATGTCATCAACTATAAGTCTAAACAGAAACCAGCTCTCATATGATGGACCTTGTGGTTTATTTATTTATTTGGGGTGGGGGGAAGAAATGATGAAGTCTCCCCATGAATTCTGAATCACTTGCGTTGATCCAACTCCTGCAGATGAGACACGTGGAGGTACTAATGTTACTACTGGCTGGAAGGTGCCTCTTGTGGGGTTCCTCAAAATTAATTTGGATGGAGCTTTTTCAGGGAAATCTGATCATGCTGCCATAGGGATCATTTGTAGAGATCATGTTGGTGAACTTGGGTGGGGTTTTATTGATAAAAGTCAAATCCTTATCAGCTTTCATGACTGAAACATTAGCCCTAAGTTGTGCTCTTACGCTGGCCTCTGATCTAGGTAATGACAAAATCATCTTTGAGACTGATTGCAAACTTTCAACGTTATATGTTGCTCGAAATCAACCTGATTTGTACGATTGGAAATGTAGAAGTATCTTGCATGACTGCATTGTGGCTTTGGTATCTAAAGTTGGGTTCTCTCTTTCCTTTACTTCTCATCAGGGTAACCAAGCAGCTGATCTTCAATGATGCAGAAGCTTCTCTTCCAAGAGAATGAATTGGCGTTATTGGTTTATGATTGTTTGTCGTTATTGTTCCCGGATTGCTTATTTCCGTCTTGCTTTTGTTCTCGCCGGGTTTTGTGTTGTTTTGTACCTTTGTTTCTCCGTACTTTCTGCTAAGTTTAATGCCAGTAAAGTTTTCGTCCAAATAAAAAAAACCCCCCCCCAAAAACTATTAAACATTAACTCCAATTACTTTGGAAATATTACTCTATTATCATTTTATTTCCAATTTGTTCATTGAAATTTAATTCAATCCAATCCAATTTTATATAGTCAAATTACAACAACCGCGCCATGCACCAGAGAAAATCTATTTAACTTTTACGATGGTACTACAATTACAAAATGCTATACTACGTACTCGTCATTATGATTTACTTTTTAAAACATCTCCACATCTAGTTAACGCAATCCATCTTGTGGTCATGCAGCGACCCCTCATTACTTAATTTTTTCTTGTTCTAATTTCTCCACCAAGGCCTTCTTTTCATCATCCGGAAGAGAGTTGAACATGAATACGGACTTGTCACCAATGTCATCCTTCATATAAAAACTCAAGTCAATGATTCTGAATTTTTAGCAGAGAACATTTTCCCTAGAAATCATCACTGAAGAGTAAAAATAAAAATTACCTTGACTGGTTGAGTAAACTTCCTCCCAGCAAATATCACAAAAAGAGCCATCCAAGTGGCAAGTAAAGCAAGTTTAACTTCATTATCCATTAAACCAGTCTGCAAAAGGTGAACAATAACAGTCTAATTGAAACAAAACACAAGGAATCCTAATTTATTATTCCAGTCCATACACATAGTGTAAATTACTGAAAAAAGACTTCTCTTTATTTGATTATTAGTTGACGGGGCATAGATCGGAGTCCATGGGGCCGTTAATTGACAATCTGACCTAGCCCAAATGATATTCTCTCAAAGATGGCTTTTCCTATTTCTCAAAACTTAGTTTAGTTAGATGACAAAAATCAGCCAAAACAATATTATTTGAAAGAAAATAGGAGGTAGGCTCGAATCAATTATTGGGTGGTCATTTAGTTAGCCCACGGGAAGATTCTATTAAATCTAAAACTCACTTTGATCCTGAATGTAAGAGTGAGTTGAAATTTGTTTTAATCCTACATACAAGAACTCGTTCTCCTTTGCTCACATGTTTGTTATTTCTTCCCCAAACTACCCCAATGGTTAGATTTTTGCAAGATGATAACCCATGTTAATAATACTTCAATATAGATAATTAAAAGGAGTGGTATTTTAGCAAAGCAAATGCATATTTTTTACAAATAATTAACTCACACGTTTCCTTAATCTATGTGATTAGTTAGCTATAAGTTAGAACCAGAAGCAATGCTATTCATATGAATAAAATACAGAAGTAGATGAAATATGGGAATTCAGAGCTCAATGACTTGTAAAAAGCAGTGAAAATATAAATAAAACAAGAAGAAGAAAAAAAAAAGAAATCTCTATCTTTTGATAGGCTACTAGGCTAGAGATTCTCCAGTCTCCAGTCATAATTCTCCTCCCCTCCCTCAGGCTCATGTACTTCATGACATATGTACCAGCAACCTTCGCTCTCATCTTCCTAATCTACACTTGCTTCTGGTTAGTTAACGTTGTTAACCTTGTCATGTTCCCCCCTCCCATGTCATCGCACTACACTATTTGTCCCAAGATACTTATGTTCAAATTTCTTCTTTCTCCTCATGTATGTTTTTCGCCTCTTGATTTCCGCTATGGGACTACCAGCACTAGATGTTTGCTAAATAACCATAACATTGCTTAAAGCAATGAATCATTTGATTAGGCAAAAATTATTATGAAACTAAACTAAGAGGCTTTGGGTCTGTTTAGCTCAATTACAGACCTATATGGTAATGCAATGCAATGAAGCGCAATGCGATATTAATTACCATGTGCTTGTTTGGTATGATTTGGTAATCAATACCCTATATTATCAAATGACTCTTTTAGCCTTGGCCACCCAAAAAAAAAAAAAAAAAAAAACTCCTTGTTCACCAGAAACCATACTGAAATTAACAATGAATATTCAGACATCAACTAGAAAAGAGTCACACAACATAATCAAATCTGAAAAATTGAACAGTAAAAAGATGGAAAATAGATCTAGAAATGGAGAAGAGAAGAAAAGGTAAGTTCAATTGTGAGTTGGAATGGAGAAGGATGCCACTGTTAGTGGGTGAGTTTCAAGAAGAAGGCTGCCGCTAGTGAGTTCCACCAAAAGGAAGAAAAAGGCTGCAGCCAGTGAGCTCAAAGCCACCAGTGGATTTGAAGAAGAAGAAGAAGAAGAGTGCCACTGCCAGTGCGTTCAAAGAAGACAGCAGAGATGAGGGGGGAGGCTGATAGCGGAGAAAAGGGGTGAGGTGGATGGTGCAGCAGAGATGGCAAAGAGGTAGGAAGGGGAGGACTGTCTGATAAGACAAGGGGTCATGGAACAAGAAGAGGCAGAGGGGAGAGATGTCTAACCCAAAAAAAAAAAAAATGTGAGAGGGCATTTGTGGAATGGGAAGATAGTAATGAGGTGCAATGAAGATTCATAGGGGGAGAAATGAATGAGTATTACCATTGTTTTGGTAATAATGATTACATGGGCCCAAATGAAAAGGCAGCCGAACAGTTCTCCCCATAGTAATGCAATCCTAACATTGCTAAGGCGTGATGAGATTAAACCAAACGGGCTATTTGTCTTTAAAAGATCAAATTAGGAGAAAAGTGACCATATAGGAACGCATGTCAATAGCCATCCTCACGATTGACTTGATAAGAGCAAGCAAAGATTATTGAAATGTGGAGAAAGGCATGAAAGTCATGAGATACCAAGAATTCCCCAACATAGAAAAAGGTGCAATTGGCTAATCGCCACCGTTTTTTCCCTGCTTTAGTACAAAAGTACCAATTCGAATGACAGAGGAAAATGAATTTCGTGAAGTTAATTCTTAGTTAACAATGAAATATGGCTAAATCATTATAACGTTGGAAGCCATGGTATCCTTTTTCACAACTAACATAAAAAATAATGCAGTTAATATATATTCCGATGTAGAAGAGAGTGAAGTTATTTAACTTCTCACTGCTTTTTACTACTTTTAAATACAGAAAAGTATTTAGTTTTATTAATTTTTAAAAAATAAAGTAAAGAGAGAATTAGCATGCACTAAATGGTGACCGCCAAACCAGTAGCATATACTGTTGGCCAAAAAAATACAGCAGCATATATTATGAGATTACTTTTTTATTTCGACCACCCACATATTATGGGATTAAGAGCAGCTTGATTTGCAAACAACATTACAACTAGGGTATAAGCAGCTTGATTCTAAGCAAACAGCATTACAAACTAGTCAATGTTAAGTCAGACAATCTATTTAATCATCTCATCAAACCACATCATTAGTTAAATCAGACAACCAACCAAACCAAATGGTCAAACCGACACAATGTTCAAAGTAATTAACTAAAGTTGTTCGAATAGAATACCAGATGCCCAAGAAGAACTGTAGGTATAACAAATGTCAGAAGTCCAGCTTCCAGCTTGCCATAGCACAGTCCTGTTCAGAGAAAACAATATCATTTTTGGGAAAATTGCTGGCAAAGTTGCTAAAACGTCTTATGTTCACTCCTCTGTATCCTTGCACTGATAATAAATAAGACTACTTGGCCAATAAACGTATAAATCCATAGGCAAGTGCAGAAAATAGATGAGGCATTACCTTCCTTGAAAACTAGTCCAGTCAAGGCAGCAAATAATGGACCAACGAGCCAGACAGTTGATGGGTTATCAAGAACACATTGTATCAAATTTTGATTAGCTGGTTGAGCAACGGTGATGTAGGTTGCACATGATCCAAGAATACCAAGCGCCCACAGTGCTTGCAGGGTGCGCTTGATCTCAGACACATATATGTGAATCAATAGGAGAGACAAGCCCAACCCACAAGACCCAGCAACATACAAATAATCAAGGTTTTGTTTGATAGTGGCACTTAGTGAGGAATCATAGGGCAAAAAGGCTGCAGATGCAGCAAGCAAAAATGATGAAGCAGTAGTCACTAATCCTGATCTGTACAAAATCACCTGCCATAGAAAGCATGGTATCAATGAAAAGGCCACAAATTTCTCACTTTTTAGAGATAACAAATTAAATTACATATGATACGACTAGTTTCAACCTAGCCTAAACAACATTGATCAAGGAAAAATCATTAGTCAATAAAAGAATGAGCAAAAGACAAAATAAGTTTCCAAAAACAATGTGGCAGCACCAAAAGCAAACTGAACAAGATAGTAAGAATTGGTCACTCGGCTGTATAGCACATAGTTAGTATAAGATCCCTGGATGAGGGTTTTCATCTACAGCATGAAATTGGAGTAAATTTACGCATGATATGTCAAGAGCTGAGCTGTAGGCTCATAGAAAAGTCTCTCAATCACATTACACTCAATCATCATCATTTGCCAACTAACTATAAACCAGAAAAGACTTGCCCAAAAAATCCAAAACTGAGAATAGCGTATGGAGAAAACATAGAATTGATCTAGCAATTAGTTTCAACTTTCAATTCATATCACTAATAAATTTATGAAGACCAGTATGACCTGTAGCAGTATATTGAAGCATGAAGATCACTGCCGTAGCTACTAGAAAACCTAAGAAGACAGAAACTGAAATAAGGAACAAAACGGGAAAAGCGAAGCGATGTGGTAAATAAAATTTACAAATAAGGAGACCGTGACGCAGAATACCTCGCGAACATCGGAGTCATCGACGGTCCAGGGACCGTAAAGACCTTGATAAACTACTGAATTGTCGACGGAGCTCCGGCTGTCTTGTTCGAGAGCTTTACACCGTACGGACCCAACAGAAAAGGAAAGCCTACGGGTCCTACTTCTGTTGCAGGCCGAAGATGATAGCCGCCATGTGCGGCCTTCTACTCGAGGCTTCCATGGTGAAACGGCGACTGCCAGCTTAACTCCAGTCGCACTACTCAACAGTCGAAGTGCCATGTTTTACTTTCTGCGTGTTGGCAGTTGTCATTCTGGGTTTCAGTTCATTGGACTTTAATATATCCAATTTTTCAAGCCAAAATAATAATCTAATTTCCACAGCACATCTGGCCATGTTTCGTGAAGGTCGCTTGTCGCGTTCCCCAGGCTCGGAGACGCCGGCTTCATGTCAAGGATAACGTCCACAAAAGAGAAGCTGGGGGGGGGGGGAATTAGAAAACGCACGCATTTTTTAGGGGGAGAATGACGATTGAGGATCCCTAACGACATTAATTTCAGTTAGAGATCTTAAAAAATAGAAATCTCAATTAAAGATCATGATCTTTAAGTGAGATAAAAAATAAATTTGAGTTTATAAAACTGTCCCCTCACTAAACATTGAAAGGTAATAGGAAAGAAGCTCATCTCGTGGGCTTTGTTTTCTTGTTTTTTGACGAGAAAAATACTGATGGAGTTTGTTCTTGTGCGCTGAAAATGTTAGGAAAAAATTAATGGAGCGTAATCGTCTTCTAATAGATAATTGTATACATTGCTTCCTTTACATTTCATCCTCTGCCATGCATGGAAGAGAAGTCTGCATCTTCTTCTTCCATTTCTCTTCCATTGTTCTGTTTTCTTCTTTTACACATGTCCTTTGTCATGCACGCACAGAAAGAATGTTTTGATCTTTGCAAATGCTGTCTTGCACCATTTCTCTTTGTTTTATACCTAAGAAAAAAAGTAGTCTTTTTAATGATTACTAGACTTTATATATAAACATGCGGAAGAAATGATTTCCGAGAACGACACAGTTGAAAAAGTTGAGGAGTGAAAAACAAGGAAAATGTAATATGGATGCTGAATTTTTATGATTGTGTTGAAAAGTACGTGAATGTTAAAAAATGTAATATGGATGCTGAATTTATGTAGTCAAGGTTGGGATTATGGAATGGACAGTTGTGAAGTACTAAATTTGTATGTTGTTTGTAGTTGTTCCAGATTTATTTCCCATATGGCAAGTACTTCAGCAAAAGAAGTATTTTATTATCTTCATATTGATGGACATTTTGTAAAACATTTACAAGGGAAGATGACCTATAAAGGTGGGAGATTAATTTTTAAATTAATTAGAGAAGGCATAAATCATGAAGAGCTGTTGAGGATGGTGTCATCAGTGACAGAAGTTGAAAGTGGTGTAGCTGACTTGAAATTTACAGTGAAGTTTAGTGAAAACACATACATAGATCTGTTAGACAATGAGGGAGTACAACATTTGATAAAGTATAATGATAAGTCAGCACATGTGTATGTTGAGACAAATGATAATGAAATAAATGGAGCAATGGATAATTCGATGGAGTAAGTTATTGTTCTTAATTATTTGTGTGTTTAATTAGTTTAATGACCATTTATATTGACCTATAAGTAGTTGTGAATGTAGGATGAAGAATTTGTTAACATGGTCACTACCAGGATCTCCCTGTAGGCAAGAGCTTGAAAGCATATCACCCTCTTTGCCATGTTCAACACAAAATGCTCTTGCACCACTGCCTGAGGTTAATTCGGTAAAATGGAAGGATTTATTTATGGGTGTTGGCCAGACATTTGATGATACAATTGTATTCAGAAAAGCACTATATAAATACAGCTTTGCTCATAGGTTTGGTTACATATTTGTGAGAAACAGCCCTAAGAAGATGATTGTCAAATGCAATATTGATGGTTGCAAATAAAAGATATCAACTTATGCTCTTGGGAAGACAACCTCTATATTGTGTGTGAAAAAATTCCATAATGAACACATGCACTCTGCTCAAGACAACCTCCTATTAAAGCAAAAGGCTAACTCAAGATTGACATCATTAATCATCATTGATGCTGTGAGGGAGAATGTAGAGAAAACTTCAAATGAGATTAGACAAGACCTCTACAAAGAGTATGGGTTAAATCTCACGTATCGGCAAGCTTTGAGGGGAAAAGATAGAGCATTGGAGGAAATACATGGGCTTCCACAACAGTCATACATGTTGATTCCATGGCTTTGTGAGAAATTGAAGGAGACGGACCCAGACACAATTGCAAAGTGGGTTTCCTCGACAAATTATAGATTTGATAGACTTTTTATTGCATAGGGATGTTGCATCAAAGGGTTTCTCCAAAGTGCTCATTCAATTTTGTTTATCGATGGAAGTCATTTAAGTGGTCCATATAAGGGGACTTAACTAGCAGCTTCTGCAATTGATGCAAATAATGACTTATTTCCTTTGGCTTATGTAATAGTGGGTGGAGAACCACATGATAATTGAGCTTGGTTTCTTGAAAATGTGAGAGAGATCACATACCAAGTTCAATTGACCATAGTGTCAGACAGGCATAATGCTATTGTTGGTGCAGTGCGTGCAATATTTGATGGCAATTGACATGCTTTTGTTATCGTCATGTCAAAGAAAATTACAGCTCAGAATTGATGGGATGACCAAGGAAGATGCACTTAAGTTGTTGGATAATATTGCATATGCAAGGTTGGAAACAGAATTGCATGTTGCTATGGGTCATTTGATGGTTTTCTCCCCATAGTTGGCAAGATGGTTAGCAATAAATGGGGACATAGATCGTTGAACATTAGCAAGATTTCCATACAAAAGATGGGACAATATAACATCAAACTATGCTGAATCTTTCAATGCTTGGTTAGTGAAAGAGAGAAAACATCATATATGTGCATTGATAAATGAGCACCGAGCAAAATTAGCAAGGAAGCTATACAATAGCAAGATAGAAATGGTGAATTGGTCAAACGGAGTTGGATCACGTGTTGAGGCAAAATTGAGGGAGAATGTATTGAGAGCTGAAGTTACGGTAGCTGAACATTATAGTGTGAATATGATACTAGTGAAGATAGGAAACAATGACTTGAAAGTGAATCTAACATTACAAGAATGCTCTTGTCAAGAATGGCAAATGGTAGGAATTCCTTGCATGTGCAGCAATAAAATTAGTTTAGGGTAATGTGTATTCATATGTTGAAGAATGCTACACTATTTGTGCACAAGAAAAAATTTATAACTCCACAATGATTCCGGTGGAAACCATTAACATGCCTCAGTTGACTGAGCTACATTATGAAGATTATGAAAAGAATACTTTTTTGGAACCACCACTGACTACACGTCCCCCAGGGCGACCACCTACCAAGCAAAGAGAGTCATAGTTTCAGAATAAAAAAGTGTATCATTGCTCAAGATGTAATCAAGCTAGACATACTAAGAATAGATGTAGGAATCCCAATCCAATGTAAGGATTGAAAGGGGGTGAAAATTATATGCATATTAGTTAGTTTAAAATTGAAATGCATATAGTTTTTATTTATTTTGTGCATTTTGCTGTTGAATGACCTTTTGTACAGGCAGCCACCTCATATGTTTTTTGTACTTGTGGAGGTGATAAGTTATGTAAATGGGATTGTAGTCTATGTTGTTTTTTGATAAGGACTGCATAGGTACCATTTAAATAGCTAGGATATTTTTTGGGTAAAAAGGGATGCAAATATTGTGTACATGTATTGCAATCAACGTAATATAAAACTGATGAAAATTTTAGGTCTAAATTTGTCTGAGTAAAAATGATGTTATGGCATAAGACTATTGAATTCACTATCGTAGCATAGGGGTATTGCTAATGTAACTACTGACAACATAGAACCTTACTTGGGATTAAAATTTTCTGCAGTATTTCAGACATTTAAGATATTTATCAGATAATGGGAACCAATAATGTTGATTGGCAATTTCATATCCAAAGCAAGAAAAATTCCTACCATAAGTTGTGAAATGAATAACCCCACTTGAGTGTCATTGTTTATTAGAAAAGACCTGTCAAAAATCGGGATCCAGTAACCTTACCTGAGAATTCCCTAACTTGAGTTAAAAAAGTAGCTAACGTATAATGTGAAATGTCCTAACATGACTTGGGAACTCTTTTTTTGTAAGTCTTGCCACAGATTGGGTTCCAAAAACCTTAATTGGAAATTCCTTAACCTACCTTGCAAACATAACTAACGTATGTTGTAAATGTGCCTGAAGTGACTTAGGAATTCATTGCTAAAGGATAAGTATTGCCACAAGTTGGGTTCCAACAAAGTCACTTGGGAATGGCCTAACCTAACTTGGGAAAAAGGTGAACACATGTTTTGAAAGAGCCTAATGTGACTTAGGAATTGACTGCATAAGGATAAGCCATTTGGCACAAGTTTTATTCCAGCAACCTCATATGAGAATTTGGTATCTTAAGTTGGAAAAGTAACTAACATATGTTGTCAAAGTTCCTAATGTGACTTGGAAATTTATTATTTGATGAAAACCGATGTGGCACAAGTTGGGTTCCAGCAAAGTCTCTTGCAAACGTCCTAACTTAACTTGGAAAAAAGCTGAACGTATGTTTTAAAAGGGCCTAACGTGAATTGGGAATTTATTATGTAAGGATAAGCCGCTAGGCACAATTTGTGTTCCACCAACCTCACTTGGAAATTCCGTAACATATATTGTGAAAAACCGAACGTCAGTTTTGAAAGTAACTTGAGTCAATGAAAATTAATAATGGTTTATCAAATTTCTTGAACATGTAGTCAAAGTTTTTTTTTAATTAATTGCTGTATCATATACAAGAAGCCACAGAAAAAAAATTAATTACATAAAGGTTTAATTTACATATCACAAATGTTTACACTATGATTTCAATCTTTTGGATCGTGCATGCCCAGCATTCAAAATAGACATCATGACTTGAGAGCCTACTCTGTTGTGTAGATGAGTCACTAACCAATACAATACCTTACTCCTCATTTCACTCAATTGTTCCTACACAATCAGATAAAGTCAACTCACAAGATAGAAAACTATCACACATAACAAATTATATCTTAACTTTAACATTTGTTTCTACAATTGTTAGAGGAGGCATAGTAAGGCCGCTCCATTCCTCTCGTGCAGTATTATTCTACTATCTAAGGCAAAAGATGACATACATTCCACAATCAGATCTATAAAAAATATGAAATCTGTCAGCATATAGTTGGGAAATATACACTTAATTACATGTACATAATTTCAGCTTTTTTACTCCCACCGTCGATTGCTATTCTATAGGCACTACTTTCAACTCTAGGTCATAATTTTCATCA